GAAAGGAATGCTTCGGTGGTTTGGTCACGTAGAAAGAATGAATGAGGAAAGAGTGACAAAGCAAATTTATATGGCAGATGTGAATGGCCGAGTCGGGAAGGGACGCCCTAGGAAAAAGTTTATCGACCAAATTGGCGATATTTTGAAAATGGGCCACGTTAGAAGTACCCTTAACCGACGAGCATGTATGCGTAGATATATGGATGTAAAGGAGGCGAAAGAGGTATGTCAGGATCGTGCCAAATGGAAGTCCGTAGTCTCTGCCTACCCCTCTGGGTGACAGGCGTGAGTGTTTATGTATGTATGTATGTAATAAGAACTTAACTTATTATAATCGATTAGTCTATGTTTTAAAATTGGGTTTTGATTTTAAAGTTTAGCAAAATATGTACTTGCATTTCTATCAGACATTTGATGTATATAAAAAACACCTTATAATTTATTTGGTAATTTAATTACTTTTTGAGAAAGACAAAAACAATAGCAATAAATATAATTAACACTGACTTAATAATAGATACTAATTATAACTTGAACATAAATGAAAAACTCATAACGAGCAAAGTGGCTCAGGACCATGCTTTGCGGCAATCTGTGGAGGAGTATGCTTGGTAGTGGACTTGTGAACAGCTGTAGTGATGATGATGATTCGAAAACTTGCACGATTAAATTATAAGAAATCGACGTTTTTTTATAGGATAGGGTGACAAACGAGCACACAGTTCACCTGATGGTAAGTGGTTACTGTGGCCCACAGACATCTACATCTATCCTCGATTACGAATCAAAATGCAGATGCGTTGTCACTCGTGAGGACTAAGATGAAATGCCTCGTTTCCTTTAAAAAGGGTCTCTGGTTCTCTACACTCACTATACGAAACACAGCATCATTTAGCTACTATTTTACGCTGATATTCTGTGAGAGCGCGGTCCTTCCCCGGTTGAGCCGATCCTTGCCTATACTTCTAATATAACCGCATGGTTCTACCACGTATAAACGACGTGCTTCTTTTTTTCATTTTAAAATTGTTCTCGTAATAATCTGATTGTAAATAAATATTCGTTATTTTTTTGATAAATAGTTAATTGATTAAAACAAATGTTTAAAAATAATTAAATCGCGCTAATTAAAGTAGTAGGAATGTTTAAAGTTGAAATTGGCACTAAAAGACTGGTAATTGGGACATCCACTCTACAAAACTTGAATATAAAATTTAAATCAGATGCGTGTAATCACTCTAGGAGCTTGTAGCAAACTAAACGCGCGGCCAAAGTGTGGACGCGGCGACCAAACTCTGCCAACAATCCTTTGATCTTTTGTAAAAAACCGACACCACACGGATCTCGCGCCAACTTGTGGGCCATCGTCGCAATCTAAAGAAAGCTAATCGTATATCGTATATCTCTTTACAGCCCCATTAATATCCACTATTATTTTATAATTCTTTTATTAAAACGTTAACCCCACACTAGGACTTTCTCCCGTATCGCGCAGGCAGTTTACAAACATAAATTGCACAAGGACACACACCCAGACCCGAAACAATTATTTGTAGGACATACAAATACTTGTTCCGTGCGGGATCATACCCGCGGCGCCCGGCGCAGCCACTCATTGCTGAGCCACTGCGCCACGGAGCCGTCGTCAATTCGTCCGCTCATTGGCCAGAACCGAAGTAAACTGAACGACCTTCCAACGTGTGGACGCCGTCACCAACTCTCATCCATTATGTTCGCCACTCCATTCGCCACTGTGTTGGCCAACGTGTAGAGGCGACATAAATAAAAACAAGTAATGTCATATTCAATACAACTTTAGTCCCACGCCCGGGCACAGGCCTACTCTCGTTTATAACGGCGCCTCTACACGTTGGCCAACACAGTGGCGAATGTGGTGGCCAATAGCATTGGCCAACGTGTAGACGGGGTGTTTGGGCTTCATTTGTATGTATTGGAACGATGGCCCGCAAGTTGGCGAGAGATCCGTGTGGTGTCGGTTTTTTACAAAAGATCAAAGGATTGTTGGCGGAGTTTGGTCGCTGCGTCCACACGTTGGCCGCGCGTTTAGTTTGCTACAAGCTCCCAAAGTGATTACACGCGTCTGATTTAAATTTTATATTCAAGCTTTGTAGGGTGGATGCCCCAATTACCAGCCTTCTAGTGCCAATTTCAACTTTTTTTTTTACTTTAATTAGCGTGATTTAATTATTATTGAACATTTGTTTTAATCAACAAGCTATTTATCAAAAAAAATTAACATTTTTTTACAATCAAATTATTGCGAGAACAATTTTAAAATGAAAAAAAAAATGAAGCACATCGTTTATACGTGGTAGAACCATGCATTATTACATATTATAGATATATTAGAACATATTACATATATATTAGAAGTATAGTTGCAGCACGAAGGTCGGCTCGACCGGGGAAGGACCACGCTCTCACAGAATATCAGCGTAAAATAGTAGCTTAATGATGCTGTGTTTCGTATAGTGAGTGTAGAGAACCAGAGACCCTTTTTAAAGGAAACGAGGCATTTCATCTTAGTCCTCACGGGTGACAACGCATCTGCATTTTGATTCGTAATCGAGGATAGATGTAGGTCTGTGGGCCATAGTAACCACTTACCATCAGGTGAACTGTGTGCTCGTTTGTCACACTATCCTATAAAAAAGCGTCGATTTCTTATAATTTAATCGTGCAAGTTTTCGAATCATTATCATCATTACAGCTTTTCACAAGTCCACTACTGAACATCTTCCTCCACAGACTGCCGCAAAGCATGGTCCTGAGCCACTTTGCTCGTTATGAGTTTTTCATTTATGTTATAATTTATAATTATAGTACCTATTATTAAGTCAGTGTTAATTATATTTATTGCTATTGTTTTTGTCTTTTTAAAAAATAATTAAATTACCAAATAAATTATAAGGTGTTTTTTATATACATCAAATGTCTGATTGAAATGCAAGTACATATTTTGCTAAACTTTAAAATCAAAACCCAATTTTAAAACATAGACTAATCGAATATAACTCCTTTAACTTTAAAATAATTAAGTTCTTATTAATGGTATTTATTCCAGTTTATTATGCATGTAAAGAATAAATAAAGCTAATCGTATATCGTATATCTATTTACAGCCCCATTAATAACCACTATTATTTTATAATTCTTTTATAAAAACGTTAACCCCACACTAGGATTTTCTCCCGTCTCACGCAGGCAGTTTACAAACATAAATTGCACAAGGACACACATCCAGACCCGAAACAATTATTTGTAGGACATACAAATACTTGTTCCGTGCGGGATCAAACCCGCGGCGCCCGGCGCAGCCACTCATTGCTGTGCCACTGCGCCACGGTGCTTATAAATTCGTCCGCACATTGGCCCGAACCGAAGTAAACTGAACGATCTTCCAACGTGTGGACGCCGTCACCAACTCTCGGCCAATATATTCGCCACTCCATTCGCCACTGTGTTGGCCATCGTGTAGAGGCGACAATAGGCACAGGTTGCTGTTTTTAAGTCGGTGGTTTTTTTAAGTTCTATAAGAGCGTATGTAAAACTAGATAATTTTTTGACAATTTTATTAATGTGATCCTTCCAATTTAAATGTGCATCTATATTTATACCCAGGAGACAGTGAGAGTTAACAGATTCGAAGGGAATATTTAGGTATTGGTAGTTGATAAGTAAGGGGCGTTTTTGGTATGGTCTAAATTGCAAAAGTTTAGTCTTTTTGAAATTAATCTCGAGGTTGTGATCTTGGAGCCAGCAATTTATTACATTTAAATTAGAGGTTAGGAGATGGTGTAAATCTGTGCTATTGGGACAGGGAAGAGTTAATGAAATATCATCAGCAAAAAGAACACAGGGGATATTACATATATTCGGAAGGTCATTCACATATATTAAAAACAGCAAACAGCCCAGCACGCTACCCTGAGGTATAGAGTGTTTTAAGAAAATTTTTTTAGACCTTACAGTTTCAATAATTCTGGTTTGTGGGTCTCTGTAGCCTATATCTACATACTGGACGCGTTGATTAAGGTAAGATACAAACCATTCGTAGGCCAGACCTCTCACACCCACATTATAAAGTTTATTTAATAGGATCGAGTGAGAAACCCTATCGTATGCCTTGCTCATATCTAAGAATATACCAATAGCGTGTTGTTTCTTGTCAATTATCTTTAATACTTCTCTTATGTATTTATATACTGCGAGTGATGTAGAGCGACCCTTTCGAAAGACATATTATCCGTCATTTAATATATTATATTTTTCACAAAAGGTATAGAGTCTGTTATACATGACTGTCTCAAATATTTTGGATAATGTTGAGAGAAGTGCTATTGGACGATAATTATTGCAATTTTCGGGGTCGTCTTTTTTGTGTAGCGGTTTGACTATTGCTATTTTTATTAAGTCTGGGACAGTTCCTTGCGACAGTGATTGGTTAATAAGAAGGGAAAGTGGTGAGGCAAGTTCATCGGCACAAGTCTTTATTAAGGTTGGTGGTATTTCATCAAATCCATAGCTTCTTTTATTTTTTAGGTTTTTTATGATATTAAATACTTCTATTGGGTTAGTTGTCTCGATAAATATAGAGTTATTGATAGTAGTGGCAGCAGACTGAGCTTGTGAGCGAGAATTGTTCGCGGGAACCCCCATTGAGGTGAAGAAATATGTGTTGCGTATGATGAGTGTAGAGAACCGGATACCCTTATTACTGAAAACGAGGTGTTTCACCTTAGTCCTCAGAGGTGACAAGTGACAACGTATCTGCTTTTTAATTCTCAATCCAGGGTAGATGTAAATGTATATATGTCTACGGTCTTATCACCCTTATTCTATATAAAAAAAATCTAAATCTGTTTTCTAATGTTTATAAATGAATAAACATTAAAAAATATATATATATAATACATAAATAAGACATAAATACTTTAATAATAATAATATGTATAAGACATAAATACTTTTTGCTCTAGGATACCAGCAGCATTATTGAGGTTTTCGTCGAGATTGCTAGGGATACGGTGGACGGTGCGGGGTCTAGAAAATGTAGATGACTCACGAGGCGCCGTAGTGTTGCTAAACCACCAGAGCAGCATCGACCTCTTCGGTAAGTATTTTAAATTTAATAATAATATGCTGACCATAACGTTAGTTTGCAGCCGGTAGTCAGAGACAATCTCGAGGTTGAACACAGACACCACAATCGTAAAAGAGGTGGAAATGTTTCAAATGCGCCACAATAGGACTTATGTTTATTATTTATTTCTTGAAGTAATTTAAGCGCCTATTATAATAGGCATCGCATGTAAAATAGGTAAAGCATCATACAGGAAAATTTATTGGATTTTTTTTTTTTTTTTTTTTTGCGCCCGAAGCAATTAAAGGGCTACCCTGTACGTAGGGAGGCGGAAAATGCATTACGCATACCACGATAGCCGGTCTATCGTGGTTATGGGGGACTCACTGTCCTACCGGGGACCCTAAGTGATACCCCCTAAAAACCGCCTTTGGGGACAGGCAGCTGGCTGATTAAGCTCTATTGTGCCTTATCATGAGCGACCCTCTTTTGGGAAAAGAGGGCGCAGGCGGCTAAGAGCCGCTGAGGGAGTGCCTACGAAGGCAAAATAATATTAGTTGATATAGTAATAATTAATTTAATTAGAACTGGCCTGAGCCGCCAGGAGGCAGTTCAGGTCGTTTGACAGTTTATTTGGCGGGTCCAAGAGAGAGTTTCTCGGCCTGCGGACACGATAGCGAGAGGGGGGTGGGGCTGCATAAGAAGCCGCCTCACGAATTAAATTGTTTGGGTGCGACTCTGAGGCTTTGAAGAAGTTCTCAGAGAGTTTTTTAAGGTACTGTTGAATTGTTGGGAGCTCTAAGTCCCGATGAAGGTCGGCATTACGGACGTACCAAGGTGCGTTCGCAGCTCGACGACAGAAGAGGTTCTGAACTATTTGGAGTTCATTTAATATGTTAGGGTTTGCGTGGGCAAAGACGGGGCCCGCGTAGGTCATGACTGGTCGTATACAGACCTTATAAAGGGTTCGCTTGTTCCGAAGGGACATTTTACTGTGTCTGCCCAACATACTGTTGAGCCTACTCAGGTAAAACCGTGCGTGACGGGTGACTCGTTTGACGTGGGGCCTAAAAGTGAGCCCTGTGTCTAGAGTGACACCTAAATATTTGGCTGTCGTATGCCAGGGGACAGGGGTCCCTAGCATACGTATTGGAGGAGTGTTTTTAAGACGGCGTCGTTTATAATCGAAGTGAACGGCGGAACTCTTCTCCGGGTTCACATCGATGCGCCATTTTTTGAACCAATCTCCTAGGTCATCAACTGACTTTTGGATCTTGTTCCGTATGAAGGGTAGTGAGACACCTTTGCAGTAGATGGCAGTGTCGTCTGCGAAGAGGGAGAGTTGAACACCTTTCGACGGGATGGGAATGTCGTTGGTGAACAGGATGTACAGCAAAGGAGCAAGTACTGAGCCCTGAGGGACACCAGCCTTGATAGTTCGCTGCGAGGATAGCGTGCCTTCGTGTCTAAAACGAAAGGTACGATGCTTCAAATAGGAGGCCACGAGACGAACTAGACGATCGGGGAGACCTATTTTGTAGAGCTTGTAGATGAGGCCTGTGTGCCAGACTCTATCAAAAGCTTTGGCTATATCAAAGAAGACCGCGATGGTTTTATGACGTCGAGGATAGAAACCGCTGAGGATATATTCCACAATGCGGTGAACTTGTTGGGGACATGAGTGTTTGGCTCGGAAGCCGAATTGGTGGGGAATGATGAGAGGGTCACCGTCTGTGGGAAACAGATAGCGCCTCATCCGTGTTTGGATGACTCTTTCGAAGAGCTTGCCCATTGCCTTGAGGAGGCTAATGGGGCGATGGCTGGAGGGGGAGGTTGAGAGGCTTGCCTGGCTTGGGAATTCCAATCACAGTTGCCTCTTTCCACGTAGTGGGAAAATAACTAAGGTTGAAGCAGGCGTTGAAGATAATAGATAGAAAGGTTAACACCTGCTCGGGAAAGTGTTTGAGGGCTTGGTTGGAGATGCCATCCGCGCCCGGAGCCTTTTTAGGCTTAAGTCCTTTGATGAGGGATGAAATCTCATCATTGGACACAGAGATAGGTTCGGAGGCGGTAGGGGGTGAGTTCCGGCGGCGGACCTCATCCTCTACTGCCTGGACGTGTGAGGGGTCAACAGGTTGAGAACTAGGGGAGCATTGATCGGCAATGCTATCCGCAAAGCACTCAGCCTTCTCCTCGTCCTCGAAGGCAACCGTGCCGTCGGGACGGGAGAGAGGGGGAGTGTGGGTGATAGCGTCTATGCGGAGGGCTCTAGCCATCTGATAGTACGCTGTGTGAGATGGAGTGATATTCTCCATGAGCTTACTCTTTTCGAGATCTTGAAATTCAGAGAGGCGGAAGCGGAGTTTTCGTTGAAGACGATTGGCCGCGCGCCTATATTCGGGGGTGGGATATTTTGCTGCTCTCCGGAAAGCAGCTTTTTTGGCTTTTAATAGGTTGCTAATATGTAGGGGAAGCCCACTATTGTTAGCAACCGGGACGACCCTTTCGTTCTCCTTAAGGGAGGATTTAATAAGGGTGGAGAGTGAGTCGACCGCGGTGTCGATTTTTTCGGGACTGTCTAAGTCCGACGGAATGGAGATGGTAGAATCCTGTGAGTCCAGAGCTTTAGCTAGGGACTCCTTGAATCCCTTCCAATTAGTGAAGGTTTTTGTGTGTATTGGGGGAGGTGGCTGATGGCCAAGAATGAGGGAGACCGGTCTGTGATCTGATCCTAGATCGTCTAGTGTCTCGATTGCTCTGAGGTTGAGAGAAACTCCTTGGAGTAACGCAAAATCTAACACATCGGGAGAGTGATCGGTGTTATCGGGAAAGTGAGTAACACCGAGAGGACTATGGACAGTGATATCAAGAGACTGCGTGATATCGAGCAGTATCTTGCCACTAGGGGACGTAGTGCGGCATGTCCATTCAGTATGCTTGGAGTTAAAATCTCCAAACATAATGACTGAATTGCCCAAGGATAAAATGGCTTCAAAATCTTTTTTTGAGGGGATAGGTTCCTGAAGGGATGTAACAGGAGGCTATGAGGATGGACTGATGTCCAGTCATAGCTAGCTTGCATACCGTGGCTTCCATATTGGTAAGCTGCGGAGTAGAAATGGGCGAGCAATGAAGTGTCTTCTTGTAATAGATGGCCGTTCCGCCGCCTCGGCGGTCGGGTCTGTCATTACGAAGAAGAGAGAAGTTTCTAATAGAAAGGCCTCTAGGAAATCGACTTCATGATTTCGAAGAAAGAGCTTTAGCTCTGGGAGGTTATTTCGCAAGCCGCGAATATTGAATGATACAAGCGATAAACCCTTAGGTTTGATACGACCGTGGGATCTTGGTAGGTTAGTATTATTATCAGCCATTGAAGTTAAGTTAATTAAGTTAACTTAACTTACAACAGAGCAAGCAGAAGATCATTGTGTTCCGCAAGAGCGATGAGACGCTCTTGGGGGGACTTCGCCGCGCGCAGTTTGCGTGAGATTACTGTAATCTCCCTAACATCTATATTCCTAATCGCGGAATATAGTGTGTTGTAGTCATCAATTGTGGGCTCTGCCTCGTGTGCGTACGAGGTTGTCCGCGGAGGGTCTGCCTTTTTGGGCCCCCAGGGAAAGACTGGAGGCTGCATTGGCTTTGAGAAGCCCGGAGGGGGCCGAATTATGCCCTGAGGGGGCCTAGGGGGACCCTGAGGGGGCCTAGGGGGGCCCTGAGGGGGGCCTGGGGGGACCCTGAGAGGGTCGAGGGAAGCCCTGGATAGGCTGAGGAGGGCCCTGGCGGGGCCGTTGTTGGAGGGCCGGGAATGAGCGGTCATTCACCGGTGGTGGAGGAAATTTATTGGAGAATAATTTTTGAATGTATAGTGATACATTCAAAAATTATTCTCCAATAAATTTACTACACTACATGTAGTATCTTATTGTCGCCACACACGGTCAGTTCAACTGATCAGTTCAAACTAAAACTGTTGATATTTTTTAAAATATCGGATTTTCGATATATCGATAAATAAACTTATATGTAAAACTCCGATATTAACATATTTATAATGATCGATATATCAAAAATCCACTATTTTAAAAAATATGGAATGATCAGTTGAACTGACCGTGTGTGGGGTCCATTAGTCTTTGGACTGTTAATAAGAAACGTTGCGCTTTTCATGCAAGGTATCTGAGGTCTTTCCAAGCAGTAGGATTCTACTATAATAATTGGCAAAAAAGGGATTAAACAAAATATCGTGAATACAGACAAATTGGAAGTCATGCCTTCCTTATTGGTCTAGTGGCCGTTAACGCAGTTGCTGATCATGTGGTCCCGGGCTCGAAACCCGGGTCGGTCTTAAATCAGTTATTGAGTTTTTTGTCAAGAAATTCTCATTAGCAGCCGGGAAACAGGAAGTTGGCGGTGTTTTCACCTCCGTGCCTCGGAAAGCACGTAAAGCTGTAGGTCCTGCGCCTGATCTATCTTCGGTTTTTTCGGATTACCGTTCCGTCGAACTGTGAGTTAGAAATAGAAAGTGCAACTGTGATTGTGCATATACTTGGTCACTATAATCCTGTCTTGCACAGATAGCTAGTCTCCATTAAGGCTGGCCGCCGTAACCGAAAGTCTGTCTGGAGGACATTATTATTGTTATTTAGAGTCGATAAGATTTACTGGTCACCCTAACGCTTGATGGAAAGTGTTGCCGATAACAAACGACGAAAATCATCACAAAAGCTTCTGATTTTTTCTCAATTTAAAAACAAAGTTACAGTCTATATTCCCAGTCCCAATTCTGGAGAAAATCTTATTTCTGAGAGGGTTTTGGAGCAATTAATCCGCCGCAGTGCTGTTTTATTTTTAAATAAAAAAGACAGCATAAACGCGTGATACAAATAAAAATCTTGAATATTCAATTAAATGAATGTTAATGAGGTACTTAAGTGTATGTATTTGACATTAGTATAATAAGGTCGCAATCGGAAGTAATAAGTATTAAGTACTGTGTCGAAAGAACCGATTGTAACAGACCAGTAGGATGACCACCTCCAACTTTATTATACCCGAGACTCGAGTTGGCAGTTCTTTTAAGGGCCGCCAATGTTGCCATGATTATTGGTTGTATTCAGCGAAAGTGTCTCATGTTGTTTTAGGTCAGGTCAATATAATAATACTACTACTATACTAATTACTACTATACTACTATACTAATTATGGAAGTAAATGGTAGGATGTATTCATACCAATATAACACAAAATTCTCTTTGACTCGTATGAAAATAATTATTTATTTTATATTTATACATTATTTATTTCTTTATTTGCAAAAAAAAAAATACAAAGGCTATTTCTTAGTCTTATTATTCGCAGTTAAATTATAAACATTTTGTAGGCGTCACGCCTTTCATCTCAATTAACTACATCAACGTAGTTATACATTTTATTGTATTGTTTTTACACTATTAGTGCATGATACACCGTATCAATATTTACATTGAAGTAATGAATGTAGCAGAGGTCCTCCTGAAGCTGTGCCCATTGTAATACTCAGCATCCGGCAGACCAAGAAAAGTAGCTATTTCTTTTGGCATATTACTAAATTTGTTTATCCCGATTGCTTGAGCTGTACATTTCCCTTTTGATAATTTTGGAAAAAACGGTCGGTTTTTGCTTTTTGGGACCGCTGATTCATATATTTTTGCACTATTCTAAGAAAATCTCCTTCAACAACAAAGCTTCTCGGTATCTTATTTTTTGTATTCGGCATCTTGATTAGTAGCATTTTTCCATGGACTTCAATGTCTTTTATAGTAATATTGGCTAACTACTCTCTGCGGCAAGCTCCAACAACTCCAAAAATCAGCTACAAACGCAACCTACAAAAAAATAATATATTGACTGTATTTTGCGATTCCGTAAACTGAATACTAAAGAAAATATAAGTATTTATTAATGAATTACCTTTGTGACTAAATAACGATCATCAAGAGCTTCGTTCAAAAACCATTCCACTTCATGTGTTTCCACGACCATAACGTAGAAGGTTTTAATTTTGCTGAGAATTCGGAGAAGTATTCCAACATAACATTTTCTGAAAAACTATTTGCTTCTTTCTCTTCTCTCCAAGCAATAAATTCGTCGTATGTAGATATGTAGCGACTTTTGGACTTTTCCGGTAAAGTGTTCTCCGAAGCATTTTGTGCAATTATACTGAGTTCCGGTGGTGTTAATTAAAATAAATTATCGTCGAAATTACTCATTTTTTGCAACAAACAACTAAACTCGCAAAGAACATTTTTGGAAAATGGCGCCAACCGTAAAATAATATAAGCAGAGATTTTTTTGTTTTCTTCACCCATTCTGGGTAGGCAAAGGGAACTATGCCCATAGCTAGGGAACTAGCCAAGTCGAGTCGTCCATAGATTTTTTTATTGATATGAAATGAAAATAAAATTTAATGAGATGAAATGAAATGAAACCTAACCTAACTCATTGAATCAAATCATTAAATCTGATATTGAAACAAATTAGTAGCTTCTTTTTAGAAATATTTGCATGAATCTTAAAAACTTCTATGAATTTTTTTAAATAAAAATTTCGTGGTTGGGTTTTTCTTTTTAATAGAAATTATTTTGACAATTGGGAAAGAGAACGCACGGTTCGGAAAAGGTAAAGAAAAGGCTCGAGTATGTAATAGCCCACATCCCGAACGATATACGGCCCAGCAATACGCCACTTTTTGAGCAACTGTATTAAAAATAATGTGTCAACTGTATTAATTGCCTAGCATGTCGTAATACCAAGCACTAATGGGATATTGTGATTGTGTAAGCGATGGGCTAGCCACCTATCACTTCTTTCACAATTTTTTATCGATACACATATTTTTTGGCTGAAACGGGTCTGAGTACCTTGCTGCTTTTTATGCTCGGCACACACAGTCAGTTAATCTCATCAGTTGAACTTACGTACACCCAAAAACTGACCGTGAGTATTAAATCCTAAGTTTTCAACTGACGGCAAGCAACTGTCGCCCTGAGAGGTTGACTAGTCAGATGTGTAGTAACGCACGTCTGAACGCGGCCTCATCGATCAGGAAATGGCCGGTTTGAAGCCAGTGAATGGTCAAATCATTTTGGCTTACATCCATTTTAATGTTGAACAGTTTTACTGACCATATGTGTCGAGCTATAGACTCTGCCCACCCTTTAAGATAACAGGCATGTCGCTATATATAATTTTAATCAAAAATAAATTGCAATATTTCTATAGTGTTTTTGTATTAGGCCACTTCACACATTAGACCACACATCAATCTCTGCTAGAAAATTCTGGGTAACTTTATCAGTTAACAAATAACGAGTTTATGACGTTTTCGTTGCACACTATTGTATTTGATAACACTATGATAAAAATGATAAACTTCGATGTTAATTGGTATTTTAGTAGGCAACTGTTTGGACCACAGAAATCGTAATAATATTGTCGATTTCTGTGGTTTAGACGAAAACATTTGTACTATGCACCCAGCTTTACCCTGGATCTATTGTTACTCTGATAATTCAACTGAATACAATAGGCATTAATTCAGGAATTAATTCAGTTTTATGGACAGCGGTTCAATTTATGTAGGCTGTTACTTTAATTATTTTTTAAGTCGACATAATGAATGTGTGTGTAAAATTTGGTCAATTGCATGCATACTCCCACAATTAGAGTTGCCGTTCCATTGAACAAATCAAATTAAACAACTTAAATTATGTATTTAGAAGAAAGCGGTAGTATCTTTACTGATTGAATTATATGTCATTATATAAACCAAAATCAAGGAATCAACTAAGTGATGGAAGGTCTATGTCAATCACATGATTATCTCCGAAGAGTGGCCAGATAATCTCAGAGATTGCTGTTTACAAGCCACATCATCTTGATAATCCTTAGGACGTTATCAGGTCATTATGATATTATAGTATTATGTGTTACAAAGTCTGCATATATCTGTGAAATTGTATATATATATATATATATATATATATATATATATATATATATATATATATATAATACTTTGTCTTAATATTTTGGAATACCTACTGGCTAGGCGAACTTCACCAATTTTAAAAGTAAGGTTTGCGCTTGCTGGAAATAAAAAAGACATTAATTTTTATTCATTTTCAAATATGGAGTGGTCGAAGAAAGAAGATGGAGTAGCGTCGCACCACTGTGGTTACGCGCCAAAAGAGATTTTCAATATTCTACAAAAATTGAAAATAACCCTACCATTTGTTTATCGCACTATCAAACGATTCACTGAATTTCAAGCTTCGAAGATCGTAAGAGGACCGGCCGACCTCGTACAGTTACGACATCCTCGATCGAGCAGTGAAGGCGCGAATCCAACGTAATCCTGTTCGTAAACAAAAAATATTTGCTCTTCAGATGGGCCTAAGCAAAACCACGGTCAAAAGAGTGATCAATGAAGACCTAGGACTACGAGTTTATCGTAAGAACACCGGACATTTTAAGAACGATAGTTTGAAAAAAATTAGGCTGGATATATTTCGCGCTTTGTTACGGCGGTACGCGGGAAAAAAATACCGCGAAAGATAAGGTGTGGTGTTCAACGAGCACATTATCCTTCATCACTCATGGTTTGGCTTGGAGTCTCATATTCAAGCTTAACTGAGGTGTTTTTCTGTAAAAAAGGTGTAAATACTAGTGCGAGTAGTAGTAATAAACATAGTGGAACCTCTTTCTTGAACAATGTTCAAAAACAGACATTGGATATTCCAACAGGACTCTGCACCGGCTAATAGGGCACGAAGCACGCAAAACTGGTTGGCCCCCCATGGAATTGACTTTATCAGCCATGAAGACTGGCCCTCTTCTAATCCAGATTTAAGCTCACTGGATATAGGATATCGCGACAGAAAAGTTTGCGCTAAACCTCATCAGACTTTGGAATCTCTCCGAGCATCTTTGGCTAAAGCAGCGGCAGAAATAGATATGAGTGTGGTGCATGCAGCGATTGATGATTGGCCGCGTTGATTAAGGGCATGTATTCAAAATAGGGGAGGGCATTTTGAATAATGTAAATAAAATTGTATTCTAAATGAAATTACCTTTCATTTCATATATGATTATCAAAAAGTGTATCATTAATTTTATAAAAAGTTTTTGGCAGTACTTATGACCCGACGATATATATATATATATATATATATATATATATATATATATATATATATATATATATATATATACAGGTTAAGCTACTTAAATTTTATCATAATGAATCGCCTATTTTGCGAACATCCAATGTGTTTAAATTATTTCATTTGTTTGTGTTTATGAATTCTAAACGAGCTTACGTTTAGTAAATACATAAAACGGTAATGTATGAAATATGAATACTTGACTTATTCGTTACGTCTATTCTTCCTTAGCTCTAGCGGTGCTATGGCCTCTTATGGCGCGTTGCACGGTGGTGTCCAAACGAGAGCTTCAATACCTAGTGCCATTTGGCACTGCTTCTTGGCTATGGGGTACGGTTTTCATTGACCGCGGTGCTCGATCTGCGCACTCTGTCCTGAACCAACAGAGTAATGCTGTTCGGGAACACAAGGTAATTTCTTTTTTTTTCATATCTTGGAATTGAAAACGCAAGTTTTTATTCTCTGTTACAGATTTATTGTGATTGTTTTGTATATCTGACGATCCATTTAAGCTTATCGCTCGTCTCATTGCATAAGCACTTTATCAAATACGGGTTCATAATGTTAATGCATGCTATATTATTACCTCTATGATAGACGATGAGCAATTGAAACTTTCGATACAGTTCTGAAGTAGACTAATTGAAATTAAAACCAAAACCACGTGTCTGTAAATATCGTACGTACAATATTGTAATTTTTTTATTAACAGTGTAAACGGATCTAAAAAATTGTTCATAAAATGTGAACTATTTTTTGTAAATCATTACGTATTGAAAATCATCGATATGTTCTTGAGTAATATCGATTATTATTCAAACTTGTTACAACTGTTACCTATATTAATACATTTTTATTTTCTTTACATTAGTCTTTAGAAACCATTACTGGATATATATAGTCTAAGATCCCGATATAAAACGACCTTCACCGAGATGCTTATTTAATGAAACGTATTTTATATTTAATTTAATATGTCAATAAATATAATCCATATGGGTTGCCTAGCAAATTTCAGTCCAGAGTATGTTTAATTAATAATTAAAAAAAATTATTTTTTTTAAACATTTCACCGGTATGATTATTAGATAAATTCTATACCAATCGAAAGTATGAAACCCATAGAATATGCAAACGTTAGGTTGCCTATTCTTTTCCGGTCACAACTATCGGGTTGCCAGGTATAAACAGGTAAATCTGTTTTAGCATTTTGCAACGGTCTGTTTATTGAATGAAATTTAAATGAAATTAAAGATTATTTTAGTCTGAACACGGTGGTATAGGGTTGCCTGCGAAAAATCAGTCCAGAATTGCGGTTGTCGAATTTTAAAAAGTAAAATATTGCTCCGAGTGAATGTGTCAAATCAGTGTCATCAATCAATGTCAAATCAATTAATTGCTTAGGAATGTCACATTCTACACGAATGACATCATCAGCAGTTATGTTGCGAGAAAGCGGATGAGCATCTATATTTTTAATGCAGCTTCTCAAATAATATGCTACATTTTCAAACTCATAATCATTTCTTGTCTCCAAAAGTTTGAAAGTGTTTGCCATTACAGAGACGTCCATGTCTGTTTTATACACAATTTTTTTGTTACGTATTCCCATTGACGCTTCAATCGTAATACGATCATCGAATTTCATTAATTTTTTTGCAAGGTTTCACTTCGGTAATCTTGAATATTGTTACGAGCTGGAGGTTCGTGACAATAAAAATTGCCGATAAAATTACCTAAATTAACACTTTAATTTACTTTACACAAATTAAAACTAAAAACACTAATAATTAAACACACTAATTCACTTAATTCCGCTCCGAAGCTTCGCTTGTGTCGCCGAGTTCAACTCTGCCTCGATCGCATCTTGCAGCGCCTATTTATATAATTAGCAAAGAAGCGTCCCGAACATTCACGTAAATGCGCGCCAGGCAACGAGTATTCGAGTGTAGATTTTCCAGAAACTTAGTTCTTCGGGTGGCGCTGTCGGTCGAAAGATTTGTGATGTCATTTTCTCAATGCTCCCCTCGCTCTCGTTCCTGACACTAGATGGCGCTAGTTTATCGTCGACTTGAGCGCGTAACAATATCATCGAAATCAATTTCATGATTTCCAAACTCTAACAATAAAGCTTGGTATCTTAAAAATAATTAAGCCAAGTACATAACCTTGTTGTTTTCAATTATTTCTGTTTCAATGAAATTCGATATAGATTGAAAGGCCAACTGATGTAACTATCTATATTTACTATATATATGTTGGAATGGGTAGATTCTTCCGTGGAACGCTTATTTTTCGATTGATAAACTGGGTAACAAGGCAGATGGTACGCGATAGTTTGATGTTGAAGTTTGGAGAGAATCACCGAATCGCCAAAATTTTGCGCTATATTTTTTATCTGTAGTGGTACTTTGTCATCATTAGGGACAGTAAGATTGACCAGCTTCTTCCCAAATCTCTTTTGGCTGTGGTCACAAAAAAAGGCAAATAATTTTGCTTGATGTCGATGCTGTTTATGTTGACTGCTCCTAAAAGAATTAAATCATTCTTTGAGTATAAATCGATGAAAATAAATATAATTGAAAATACAAGTTCAATTAATAGATTTTCATATCATTTTTTTAAAAAGCTTAAAAAATATTTTATTACCTTGTCAAAGTCCCCAGAAGTTTGGGACGGGTCTTCAACATTACTCGTTTCATCTTCAGCAACTGTAGTACAGGAATCGATACTAGGGTTCAACTGTTTTGATTCTTCTTCAGTAGTAGATACATTGGTATGCTCGTAAAAAAATTTTGCGATTAAATGAAAATGTTTGATATATAAATTTTATAAACTTTTTGATAAGAATAGTTGATTGAAAACATCCTCATTAATTGTTACAAAAAAAAAGGAAATCAGATCATTTTCTTGTTTAATTTATAAATTACCGTTTTTAAGTAAATTACAAAAAAAATATGTGTGTTGAAAATTAACAAAACCATAGGTGAATTTTGCTAACAATTATTTAAACATGAAAAAAATATAGAAGATGTATTAGCTAAGATAATTTTAAAGATTCAATTTTTTTTTATATACTTACTGTATATTCAGCACTAAAATTAAGAAATTCTTCGTTATATTTTTTATTCAAAACGATCACTTTTTTGTAGCACGTGGTATGATAACCTACAAATTGAAGAGACGCACTGGGTACTCAACAAAATTGTATTTAAAGTGTTTTTTTTTTTACGAAAAGCTAACTTTAATACACATAATAGTTTTTAAAAGTGTTTCATCATTAAAATCAATTATTTAATCATCCGATCCACACAAAAACCACTTTTTTGCCATTTTTTCCAACAATAAATAGTAGCACGTTTTTTCAATTGTATTTATAGCGACACTCTACTCCAAAATCATGCATAGTATACGAGTCTATCGCTATCCTTTTCTTTTCCAAGCCCAAATAGCATGCGCACTCTCTTTCTTTAAGTGGGCAGACTTTAAACAGCTGCTATGCTGTGTCCTCTTCTATCGCATGGGATGGTCGGTTGGGACCTTTCAGTCACACACATTCACTAGGAGCAATATTTTACTTTTTAAAATTCGACAACCGCAATTCTGGACTGATTTTTCGCAGGCAACCCTATACCACCGTGTTCAGAATAAAATAATCTTTAATTTCATTTAAATTTCATTCAATAAACAGACCGTTGCAAAATGCTAGTACAGATTTACCTGTTTATACCTGGCAACCCTATAGTTGTGACCGGAAAAGAATAGGCAACCTAACGTTTGCATATTCTATGGGCTTCATACTTTCGATTGGTATAGAATTTATCTAATAATCATACCGGTGAAATGTTTAAAAAAATAATTTTTTTTAATTATTAATTAAACATACTCTGGACTGAAATTTGCTAGGCAACCCATATGGATTATATTTATTGACATATTAAATTAAATATAAAATACGTTTCATTAAATAAACATCTCGGTGAAGGTCGTTTTATATTAGGGGATCTTATACTAATAACAAAGAATTATGTTTCTCTTGGATTTGCTAACAGTACTTACCACACTGTGGGTTTATTAGTATGAAACGATTTTATTAAATGTTACATATTCATTTATTTCTATTTTTTAATTACCATTCAAAAATAAATCAGTAATTTATGCATTACATTAATAGGTATGGAACGGACCAAATTTGAAAGTCTACTAAGTTATTTTTTAATAATTTAGTATCTTACAAAGTATTACTGCGCACTTAGCGCTTTCAGTGTTGAGCAATCGTAAGTAAATCACTCGTAATTGTAATAAAAATTGTGGTAAAGTACGGCGCGAATTGAGAACAATCCAGATGAATGCAAATGATGACAAGAAAAAACATTAAAGTATCAACAAGGTTATTCTAGGTTGTTATTTTATATACTTGTACATATGTGTCAAAGGCAATACTGTTTGAGTTATTCTGTGTGCGCGTTTTCCTCAAGGTATTTGTCCAATGTCTCGTCTTGCTTAGCCTTGACAATGTGTGTTAGTACGGCACGTAATTCACTTATCGGTACGTAATAGTCAACAATGTTTGCCTATTTCAAAGGTGTGGATGGACGTTACGAGTATAATAAAAAAATATTAAGCAGTCATAAAATTTTAAGATTTCGATTATTTTCGAATTTCATTAAAATTACATCAGATTTTGGATATTTTTTCGTTATTTATCTACATTTGCGATATTTTGGAAATGAAAATAACAGTAAACAACAGCAACATAGGAGAGTGAGAGGAGTGAGTGCCATACAGTAACAACAAATAAACATAACATAACATAAACACTCACGCCTGTCACCCAGAGGGGTAGGCAGAGACTACAGACTTCCATGTGGCACGATCCTGACACACCTCTCTTGCCTCCTTCACATCCATACACCTACGCATACATGCTCGTTGGTTGAGGGTACTCCTAATTTGGCCCGTTTTCAATAAATCGGCAATTGGTCGATAAATTTTCGCCTAGGACGTCCCTTTCCGACTCTGCCATTCACTTCTGCACCATAAATTTTCTTTGTCACTCTTTCCTCATTCATTCTTTCCACATGACCAAACCACCGAAGCATTCCTTTCTTAATCCTGGTCACAATATCATCTTGCAAACCACACTCTTCTCTTATTACACAATTTCTTACCCTGTCATTCAGATTCAGCCCTAACATACTCCTTAACGACCGCATTTCTACTGCTTTTATTCTACTCTCGTGCTTCTTCTGCCACACCCAACTTTCACTACCATACGTTAAAGTAGGGACCAACACAGCATTGTGAATTGCCATACGTGCCTTTTTCGACACATTTTGACTCTTCACAATAGAGTGCAAGGCCCCATTTACTCTATTTCCCGCATTCACTCGTCGTTCTATATCCTTAT